CACACAGTGGCCAACTAGTTGCTATTGAGAGCCAGCAACCGGGCACAGAGGCCAAGGCTTTCATAAGAGCCTCAGAAGAGCCCTGCTGGATCAGACCAGTGGTCCATCTAGTCCAGCATCCCATCTCACACAGTGGCCAACCAGTTCCTCTGGAGGACCAACAACAGGGTGTAGAGGCCAAGGCCTTCCCCTGATGTTGCCTCCTGGCACTGGGATTCAAAGCTTGACTGCCTCTCAATGTGGAGGTTCCTTTCAGTCACCATGGCTAGTAGCCGCTGATCGACCTTTCCTCCATGAATCTGTCTAATCCCCTTTTAAAGCTGTCTTTTGAAGCTGCCATTCTTTGGAGGAGGTCAGGGATCTCCAAGGGCAGGAGGCAGTCAAGTTGCATCTTAAAGAGCACCTGCTCTCCCATATATGCCCCTTCACTACTGACATTGAGGTATGCCTTTCAGGAGAGCTTTGGCTGCAACACCCTGAACTTTGTAGCTTCACAGCATTGGAGGGGGGGGGGGCATTGTGGGACAGAGAGGTCAGAATGAACAGACGGTAGCATTTAACAGGGCTTCCTTCTAGTTAAGTCAATCTCGGAACACTGGTGCTCTCCATGGTCCTGAAAGAGGACAGCAGGTTAGAAGGGGAAGAAAAAATACACCACAGTCTTGGCAGCACATGAAGACGTTTTCCCTTTTGTTTGGTGTTCCCTCAATGATCCCTCCTTCCTCACCAATGCTTACATTGCTGTTTTTATGTTTCGTACATGTTTAAACTCTCTTGTGTAATCATTCTGATGAGGTGTGTTTTTAGGTGTGTGCGTTGATTTCAATGGTTTTTAAAATGGGACTTTATTGTATGTGTTCCAAATTGTTAGCCCCTTCTCTCTCTCTCTTTTTTTTTACAAATTATGGAAAGGAAGGAAGGGAGGAAGGAAGGAGGGAGGGAGGGAGGGAGGGAAGAAGGAATGAGGGAGGGAGGGAGGGAGGGAAAGAATGGATCCAACAAGGGCTTCTCTCTTATGTTCTTATGCCAGCAGGAGGGAGACGGGGGGAGCCCCCTAAGGGGACACAGCCTGGCAGCGGGGGGGGTTGGGAGGAAAGGCCTCAGAGCGCAGCAGGATCCGTGCCGTGGGGAGTAGGGGGAGGCCAGAGGAGCAATTCATGGGGTTGGAGCGCCACCGGCAGGCCCTGTGGGAGGCGGGGACACCAGAGGGCAAAGAGGCCCCGACTGGGCAACACACAGCAGTCTCACCCTGCCCCTGGCATGGACACACACCCCATTGGCTTTCCAGCAGCCCAGCAGAGCCGGCCCTGCCCCACGCCGGGAAAGGAACCCCCCCCCCCCCGACCTGCCTCCCCGCCCAGGAGGCCTGAGAGAGAGAGAGCGCTGCCTGCTCCCAGCCCGGCCGAAGAGCCCCTGCCGCCGGGGGTGGGGGGTGCCTACCGGCTTCGTCCGGGGAGCTGCCGGTGGGGCTGCCCTGGCTGAGGGTGGTCCAGCTGGCGTCCTCGTCGCTGGCCGTGCTGTTGCGCATCCCAAAGAGGAGGCTGGCGCTGCGGGCTTGGTCCCCTCCCCGGGGCAGCACCCGCTCGGAGCTCTGCTCCGACTCCGTGACTGGCTCGCTCTGGATCGGGGTGGAGTCCTCCTCCTCCTCCTCTTCCTCCTCCTCTTCCTCCTCCTCTTCCTCCTCCTCCTCCTCCTCTTCTTCTTCTTCTTCTCCATCCCTGTCTCCCTCGCCGGGCAGGGGGATGAGGAGGGTGCTCAGCTCCTTGCTGGGGGGGAGGCTCAGTTCATTGCGGTTCTGGTCGCGGCCCCTCTCCGCCGCCTGGCGCAGCTGGTTCTGCCCGTCCTTCACCCACTTGGTGTTGCTAGCCGGCTCCTCGGCGGAGGGCGGCAGGCCCAGGCCCAGGCCCAGGACGACTCCGTGCAGCTCGGAGCAGGCATAGCCGCAGTGCCCCTTGTGGGGCAGGCCCTCTCCCGCGGGCACCGCCAGGGCCAGGCTCATGCCCAGGCGGCTGTTGTCGTTGGCCAAGTCGATCCTCTTGCTCAGAGAGCCGGACATGGGGGCAGCAGCGCCGCCGGGCCCTGCGGGGGGAAGAAAGGAGGGGGGGGGACACCACCACCCCCGTGTGGTCAGGCCTGCTGCAGGCACCGGCACTCTCTTGGGCATGGGCACGGGCACACACACACAGCGCCAGGCTACCCTCCCTGTGCAGCCCCAAGAACCACACAGGATTCCTGCACATGCTCAGGAACTACATTCCCTCACACTGGAACAAGTTCCAAAAGCCACGGGGGTGTGGGGGGTCAGAGGTTCCCGGCCTGTGGGCGCACAACCGAACGGAGGGACGCACCGCGATGCAGGCAGGTTTGGGGTTGTGCCTGCCTTCCCAGGCAGCTGGCGGCCAGAGGCCCACAGTCAGGGCAGGTGCCTCCCGAGGGGGAGGGGAAGCCCTCACGTGCCCGCAGTGCCAGTCAAGGGAAAGAAAGGCCCCTTGCCCACGCGCCCGGCAGCCTTCGTGGCGCTTACCTGTTGGGAGGCTGGAGGGAGAGGCCGGGAAGCTACATGCTCTGTGTCAATGGCGCTGCGTCCACGCGGAGGGAGGTCTCGAGTAGAGTGCCGCAGGGCTTGGTCCTGGGCCCGGTGTTGTTCAATGTCCTTATAAATGGCCTAGAGGAAGACACAATTGAGGGGATGCTCATAAAATGTGCCGATGACACGAAGCAGCTAATTCTGAAGAAGACGGAGTCAGGATTCAAAATGATCTAGATAGGCTGGAGCAGTGGACTGAGACAAATAAAATGAATTCCAATACAGAGAAGTGCAAAGTCCTGCACTTAGGTACAAAAAATCAAAGGCACAGATATCGGATGGGAGGGACTTGGCTTGACAGCAGCACACGTGAAAGGGACCTGGGTGTTCTGGTTGATCACAAGCTAAACATGAGCCTGCAGGGCGATGTGGCTGTGAAGAAAGCGAATGCGATCTTAGGATGCATGAACAGCAGCATTGTGTCCAGATCGCGGGAGGTGGTCCTTCCGCTCTATCCTGCTATGGTCAGGCCTCAGCTGGAGTCCTGTGTCCAGTTTGGGGCACCACATTTGAGGAAGGGTGCTGACAAACTCGAGCGTGTCCAGAAGAGGGCAACCAGGATGGTGAGAGGGTTGGAATCCAAGTCTTAGGAGGAAAGTGGTTGAGCAGTGGAACAGTCTGCCTCAGGAGGTGGTGAAGGCTCCTTCGCTGGACGTTTTCAAGCAGAGGCTGGACGACCCTCTTCCGGGTATGTTGTAGGTATGTAGGGATCTCTTTCGGCTGTGCTCCTGCAGAGTGCAGGGGGGGTTGGACTAGATGACCAGCAAGGTCCCAGTTCCAACTCTAACATTCTATGATTCTATGTGGGGAGGGCTGGCTTGGAGGGAGACAAGGGAGGGAGGGAGGGAGGAGGGTCAGCAGCACACACACAGAGAGAGACACACACCCCCAGGGATCCCTCTGGCTCACACGCCTGCTGCCAGATCCTTTCAGCTGGGGGTGCCACCGGGGACTGAACCCGGGACCCTTCTGCACGCTGAGCAGAGGCGCTGCCACTGAGCCCTGGGCGGGGGGCCCTTCTGGCTCGCCTCCTCATGGTGCACCCTGGAGCGAGAACTTCTGGCTGCCAGACAGTCCCAGGGTCTCCCAGCCCCACTGCAGACACGGAAGCCACCCACCCACCCACGAGTCCTTCTCAGGACTGCTTGACGGGGGGCCACAGGGGACAGCCACTGAACCTGCGACTGAGCCACGGCCCCTCCCACGTCTGTAAGGGAACGCGTGAAGCTGCCGTGTGCCAGATCAGACCCGCCACCCCTCAAGGTCAGGACTGCCTGCTCTGAGATGGGCAGCCGCTCTCCAAGGTCTTTCACGCCACCTCCTGCCTGCCCGACTCACAAAATTTGCCACCAATGTTGTGAGTCCTGAAGGTGCTCCCCCTGGGCTCCTGCCCTTTCCACTGCCACAGACACACTAACAATGGCTGCCCATCCCATGGGAGGGACCCCATTCAGCCGGAGAGGATGGGAATCCATCAGCCTTGTGACAGGAGGACTGAGGGACTCCCCTTCTAGCTGCATCTGAAGAAGGGACTGCAGAGGGACCCCTGAAAGCTCCTCCCCGGCCACAAGTGTTGCTAGTCTTGAAGATGCTCCTGGGCTGACATGGCTGCCCACCCCGAACTATCTCCATGGGAGGCACCCCATTCAGCCGGACGGGATGGGAATCCATCAGCCTTGTGATAGGAGGACTGAGGGACTCCCCTTCTAGCTGCATCTGAGGAAGGGACTACAGAGGGACCCCCGAAAGCTCCTCCCCGGCCACAAGTGTTGCTAGTCTTGAAGATGTTCCTGGGCTGACATGGCTGCTCATCTCGATCCATGGGAGGGACGCCATCTAGCCGGACAGGATGGGAATCCATCGGCCTTGTGATAGGAGGACAGGTGGAGATGAGCGGCATCTGAAGAAGTGACGGCAGGGACTCCCGGGAGTTCCCCCTGCCACGAATTGTGTTGGGTCCTCCTGAAGTGGCTCCCCCCCCCGGGGCTCTTGATCCTTCCTAGTGCCACGGGCGGAGAGACTCACAGGGCGACCCACCTGGACCCATCCCCATGGGAGGCGCCACATTCGGCCGGGGCCTGGACTCCCACCAGGGGCCTGCTCCTGTCTCCTGGCAGCTGACACCAGCCCCCACCCCCAGGCACGGCTGCTGGGTCTGAGGAAGTGACTGAGCCCCTCCCCTGCCCGGAATCCCGCTAGTCTTGGGGGTGCGCCTGGGCGCCGGCTCCTTCCCCCCCCCCTGCTATGGAGGGACCGACCGCACTGGGCTCCCCCCTCTGGATCCCTGGGGGGGGGCAGGCGCCGCACTCGGCCACGCAGAATGGGAGCCCCCCCCCCCCCCCGGCC